GTATAACCATATTTACTAAACTTTGGTAAATCATGACGAATAGTCTTATCGATCTTTTGTGGTGGACTTAACCAGTGCACAAGAATGTGTACTCGATCCCTTAGTCCTTTACTTGACTCACACATCCATGTGAACAAGTAATTAGTCTTAGTTTTTCAATGCTTGAAAGTTCTCATTCATCATACTATACAACTTGCATGATTCCAAGTTTCTATAAAACTGAAACCTTGGGTGATGAGAATCTTTCCTTTTTTGGTAAATTAGACATTACCATAAATGAAAGAGACAAATCCATTTTTTTCCAATATTGCTATCAATGGAATCATATATGCAACACTTTTCCACAAATGTCATTGTAAGGATATTTAGAATAAATAAAATCAAAAATCCTTTAATTTTAAAACTTTGCGGAAAAACATATCCTTACAGTGCAAAAGCATATGGAAAAACTTTGTTGTTATCTATTCCTAAGCAATATATCATAACTCCTAAGCAACAACTCAAACTTCTGATCACTGAACCATGCGATCGAAATCCATCTCCGCGATCAGAATCAGCATATACTTCCTTTAAGTTTATTCACTTTTCTTTGATTCTTAAAACATCAACATGTGACCCAGTCACATCATGTAATAAGATTCTCAGAATAGAAACTTAATAGAGTTAGATAGTGGACTTTTACCTGAAGAATAGTCAAACTTCTTGACTTGATCAACCTTATGATCTTTCCAGTAAATAGGCAGCTTCGCAACCAGTGCCCCTTCCTTTGTCAAGAGAAACATATGGACTCTTTGGGAATGGTGTATTGGACTATCACATAGTTGCCTTTCTCTTTACCATTTGGTCAATCAAGTTGACTATGGTCGATCCCTTTCCATTGGGAAAATGATGTTTTTCTTTTCTGGATTTCCAGTGTCATCATTGTCAATGTCCATAAAGTTTCGGGAAGTCGATTTTCTAATCAAATTTGTTTTACTAGCCTTCCAAATCATTGCTGATTCAGCAGTACCAAGCAAATAGATAAGATCATTAAGGGTATTGTCATAGTCTGTTTCATAGGAGTCCCAAAGGAACTCACTATGTGACTTAGAAAGTGATTAAACCACCAACTTTCTCAAGACTTTGACACCCAGCTCTCCCGGCTTGTCAATATGTGACTTCATCTCCAAGATGTGATCACACATAGACCTTTTCTTGCCAATAGGGCTTGAGTGACCTTAAACTTTTCAAGAACTTGTGGGTTAGGAAGAATAATTGGAGGAGGTGAAAGAAGTATGATTTCCATGGGACATCATCTTCATTTAGGAAAGCTTGTTTCAAGAGATTTGGGAAGATCATAAATGTCTAAACCAGACATTTGTTGGGAGATATTCAAGATAGTTGATTTAAAGTCCTTAATATAACACTCAATATGAAATATTAAGGCTAGGACCCTACACAATACTTTTATAACTTGGAAGAGGGATGTCGTAATCCAAGATATGAAATATTTGAAGGTAGGTGAATGACGATTCACCAATTTCCACCAAGATAAACGAAATGTATTATTAGGTTTTAATTGGTTTTGAAACTCCTAGATTCTTTTGAGATTCATTGAACTTTTCAATGGCATGTTTCAATCTCGAGTTTGCCCTTCAGGTTTTGTGATTGGGATGCCGAGGATCACAAAACAAGGTGTGAATAACCATGCAAATATACTTGGTACCCTTAATATTTACCCCTCAATCGATGTGCTGGTTAACCACACGCGCTCCACTGATAATATGATAAACATTAAGTTACCCTTTTCCTACCTTGTTAAATATGAGTTAGTGTGCCGGTTAACCACATGCTCCACTAACCGACTTAAACAAAGTGCAAAGTGTAATTTTATGGATTAGCACCAAATTCACATTTTCCTGAGTAACTAAGATTGGGTATTTATAAAGGTTTAGTTACTTAGTATTTATCATTAATACTTTTAATAAAGGGATAATTATAGTCCTTGTCCTACCTGTTCGGCTAACGACCCTCCACCAGTCAAGGAAGCGGTGGGTGAGAGTGGTCAAGGATGGACTCGACGATTCGTTCTTGGGACTCGGCGAGTCGGGGTGTGATGACCACCAAATCCTTTCTGTCGATGGACTAGATGATAGTGCGGAAGGCTCCTTAGTTGTTTAGGCTCATAAGGGACATGGGAATCATGGGACTTGACGAGTCCAAGGAAATTTCCTAATCTTTGAAGATGAACTCAGCGAGTTGTTCATACAACTCGACAAGTCAAGACCGGATGCATTCATATGCTGAAGATGAACTCGACGAGTTCAAGGAGGAACTCACCGATTCGATTGAAGATTGATTGAAGTGTTGTTGAAGGTAAACTCGTCGAGCTATTGCTAGACTCGACGAGTGGGGATGGGTTTGTAGTATTATGTGGGCGAAGGGACTCGGCGAGTTGGCGGACCAACTCGGTGAGTCTGGTCAACCAAAGAGTTGACCTGACCAGGGTTTGACTTTGACTTTGACTTGGATTCAAGATTGACCCTTGTAAGGGTTGTGAGTACAAATTGATAACTTAGCAAGGTTGTCATGTAGGGATTGAGGAGTCGAGGAGAGCCGACTTTCACACCAAGGACAGTACCGACACTATACGACGTCGAGGTGAGTTACCTTCTAGTATGGGTGGGTCTAAGGCCACTATGTCGGCCCACTAACAAGAGTAATTGGTAGATAATTGTCTTCGTGATAATTATCTTGGTATGCTTACGAGTTATGCTTATGAGATATGTTTATGTGATATGCCATGTGAGTTAGTGGTACTAGCAGGGAATAGCTTTTCCCTGACTCGGTCGTTAGGACTGAAGGGTAGGTCAGTACCCCATATATGCCTGACTGTATGATTATATTTTGTTATTATATGATAGAGGTAAGGGTGAAATAGTCCTTGTTGCCGGTTGAGATAGACCGGAGGGTAGTCAGCACCCCAGAACGGCCTGACATGGGTAGGTCAGCACCCCATAATGGCTTTTCATGGGTAGGTCAGCACCCCAGAATTGCCCGACAGTCTGTATGCTTTGTGATTGTATGGTATGTGGTATGATGGGGGAACTCACTAGGCTTTGTGCTTACAGTTTTAGTTTTGGTTTCAGGTACCTCTTTATTCAAGGAAAAGGAGCCGGCAGCGTAGCAGCGCATCACACGCACACACCGCCACCTAACACGGCTGCTGATGGCGGCAGCCACCACCTCACGGTGGTGGTTATGAGTTTTCTTTTTATTACTCCTACACCGATTACAATTTACAACACAAAATTCCGAATAACACACACACACACTAAGATAAATACACACACGCACATCCACTTTTGTGGTGGCTGGCGGTGTTACAAGGTGGCAGACACCACCTCACAGTGGTGGCGGCGGCATTTCTCATGATTTCCGGCCAAACAACCTACACACACCACCTACTCAATGCAGAAATACATACAAACGCACCAAATCACGCACACAACCACCTTTCACGGTAGCTAGTGGCGGAAAATTAAGGTAACCATACATACTCTTTGTTCGAGCTCCGAAAGCAGCCACCCACCCGGTGGCGTTCAACAAACAACAACAACAACAATATGGCAACCGACGATAGCTTGTTGTCATCGAAGACGGGCAACAACGACAATGGCGCAACGAAATGATGTAACGACTGACCAAGATGTGGCAGTGATGCTTTGATGGAGACGGAGCTAGTGGCAGAGCAACGACGAACTGAATGAGAGGAAGGGATGAGGAGAACTATAGCAACAACAATGACAGAAGGAAGAGGAAGATAATGACAGAGGAGGGTGGTAGCAGATGTCATAAAACTTCGTCGGCGGCTAGATAGCGACGTCGGATTCTCGGTGGTCTCCGTCTTCAACAACGGTGGTTGACGACCTCAATGGAGGTGGTGGTGCGGCACCGGAAGTCGAGAAAGTGAAGGTGGCGGCACCGGTGGGGAGGCAAAAGGGTGGGGGTGGCGACTGATATCCAAATCCTAGGGTTAGGGTTCACCGGGGTGACGAGTTTATATACCCCAAGCCCCATATAAACTTATTCCAATAATGCCATCTTTAGTCCTTCCCTTACCCGTTTCTTTCAAAGCGAGTCCATAATTTACCCTTTTAACCCCAGCCATCCAAAATCCCTTCAAATTAAGTCCAACATTTTACTAAACAGCCCCTCCCTCTACAAATTATTTCCGATTGAAGTCCTTATGTTACCAAACGGCCCCTCCTCTACAAAAACATTTCAAATTAGGTCTAGAACTTACTCTTTAGCCCCTGCTCCCATAATTCCTTTCATATTAAATCCCATACTTACCAGTTACCAAACACCCTCTGTCTTCTAAAAATCTTTACAAGATATATCTCGAATTTACACCTTAACCCCCGAATAATCCAAATTATAACATTTGGCTCCCGTAAACCAACACCCCATTAAAATTATGGATTTTAGGGATACTATTCATATTAATTTTATATATTTATTTATTTAATAAATGAGGTGTTACAGTTTCATTTGACAAGTTGGCGACCGTTTTAACCTTTTAACAAAATGACCATCAAATTCGCAATTGGTCAATCACAAATCATGAAATTGCTTTATCAATGGTCCACACCATCGATTTTGGTCATTGTTGTGATTATATTTCTAAATATTAATATCATCAATATTATTATTTTTATAGGATATAACACTTGATGCAACAAAAACAGTTGTTAATGTAGGCCAGGGACTAAGAGAAGTAGACATAAAAATACATCAAAGTTGAAAAAAATCCTAGCAGGGCAATTAGAAGATTCCAAATTACTAATAGGTGTTATGTTCAACAAAGACGTTGTCGTCCCTGGAAAAATGAAAAAAAAATCATAAATCGACGTGTCATTTACCCTCTTGAGTACAAAAAAGAAGAGAATCAAACAAACGCAGAGTAAGTCTGAGAATAAGAATTAACAATTTTGTTAAAAATAGAAGAAGAATACAACATGAAGTTATGCGCTCAAATACTCAAATTTAAGCCCGATTTGGTAATTACAGAAAATAGACTTAGTGATTTACCGTGTCATTATTTAAGCAAATCGGGAGTTAGTGCAGTTAGGATATTAAGGAAAACTGATAATAACAGGACTACAAATGCATGTAAGGCTGTTATTGTAAATAGGTCAGATAAACTTCAAGAATCTCATGTGGGAACTGGAGCTGGACTTTTTGAAGTGAAAAAGATTGGTGATGACTTTTTTGTTTATATTGTTGATTGTCAAGATCTCAAAGCGTGCACCGTTCTTCTCAGAGGTGCTAGTAAGGATCTTTTAAATCAACTTTAGAGAAATTTGTGGGTTAGTATTTGACTTTTTAGTGTTTTTTTTTTCAAAAATTAATTTGGTATGATGGAATGGATTTCCATGTATATCTGCAAGAAAATGAAGAACCGGATGGAATGATTGAAAATGATCCAATCAACTTCTCTCAGGTCATGCAAAGTTCAAATTCTCAAAAGTGGATTGATGCCATGAATGAGGAGTATAAGTCCATGCAAGACAATAAAGTTTGGGATCTTGTTCCATTACCTGAAGGTACGAAGCCTATTGGTTGCAAATGGATTTTTAAGACCAAAAGGGATTCAAAAGGTAATGTGAAAAGACATAAGGCACGTCTTGTAGCTAAGGGCTATACTCAAAAGGAAGGAATTGATTTTAAAGAGACATTTTCTCTAGTTTCAACAAAAGACTCTTTTAGGTTGATCATGGCACTGGTTGCACATTACAATCTTGAGTTACATCAGATGGATGTTAAGACAACATTTCTCAATGGTGACATTGATGAAACTATATATATATATATATATATATATATGGTGCAACCAGAAAACTTCGTATCGAAAGAATCAAAGGAAATGGTTTGCAAGCTAAATAAATCTATCTATAGACTCAAGCAAGCCTCCTGCCAGTGGTACCACAAATTTCATCAAATCATTGTCTCATTTGGTTTTGAGGCAAATATAGTAGATGATTGTGTATATCTATAACGCCCGTATATCCGGGCTAGTCAAATTAGAGACGATAAACATCAAAAATGACTTTTTGATGGAAGATTATTTATAAGGATTAATCTTAACCAAGTTTTATTATATGTCACAAGGTTTCCGTGCATATAAAGAACGCTAAAATCCGAGTTATAATGAAGAAGTTATGACCTGTCGAAGTTTCGCGATAGAACCGACACGACCCAACGCGACATAAATAGTGAATTTAAGGTAGATAGATAACTATCCCTAGTTATCTAAACGAAATTCAAAGATTTATTCGATAATAGTCCAACGATAAAAAGACAGACAAAAACAGAGTTCAGATGAAGGAGTTATGAATTTCGAACGGAGTTTTCCTGTCCCGGCCTAATAAAGATAATATATAAGTAATATACTTATAATATATTAAAAATAAAGTAAAAAATAGCCAATTAAGTCTAAACGATAGTTGTAGAGAATAATCTCACCTACGCGTCGATATAAAGAACGTCAAAAACGGAGTTCGTATGCGAAAGTTATGAATTTCTGAAGTTCGGGGCACGAAACCCCAAAACTGTCAGAGACCACGACGTGGCAAGCAGTGCCACGACATGGCAGGTCTTCTGACACCTCCAGAAGTCCCCCAGATGCAACTTGAGATGACGCATGCAGTGATGATCAAGCCCACGACATGGCAAAAGGTGCCACGACGTGGCAAGGGCCAGTTTTGCCCTATACATAAATTTGAAGGGCCAACCGAGTTTGGTTGTTCATTCTCTCATCTCTCACCCATATCACCTTGATTTACGTGCAAAAAAGTACCCCCGAAGCCCTGGTATCACCCCAATACCCGAAGCAAGTCCCGAAGTCCGAAGATCCTGATAAGAAAAGAGTTTCTGAGACAAAGCTTTGCCCGCGAGAAAGCCGGTGTGTGAAGTGATCCCGGTTTCACCGAAGAATATGTACTTGAAGAGCCGTAATGTTGTCCAATCATCTTCTAATCAAGTGAGTGTGTGGTCACTTTCTTTTAACACATAAATATAAGTATTTGCTATGAAATATGTGTTATGTGTATAATATAAAGTTGTTTATATGTGTGAGTGTATAGTCACTTTCGTCTTACACATACATATGAAGTATTTTATAAAATACATGCTATGTGTATATATATAGTTGTTTATATGTGTGAGTGTGTGGTAACTTTCTTCTAACACATAAATATTAAGTATTTGCTATGAAATATGTGCTATGTGTATAATATAAAGTTGTTTATATGTGTGAGTGTATAGTCACTTTCATCTTACACATAGATATGAAGTATTTTATAAAATACTTGTTATGTGTATATATATAGTTGTTTATATGTGTGAGTGTGTGGTCACTTTCTTCTAACATATAAATATTAAGTATTTGCTATGAAATATGTGCTATGTGTATAATATAAAGTTGTTTATATGCGTAGGTGTATAGTCCCTTTCATAAACACGATTTTAATAGAAGTATTGTTTGAATGTATTAAGTATATGTTTGGTGTGAGTGTATAGTTACTTTCTTCTAACACATAAGTATTAAGTATTTGCTACGATATACGTGTTATGTGTTTATATATTGTCGTTTATTTGAGATAAGTGTGGAATGGATGTTTTATATAGTTTTTAAATGATTTAAACTGTATATGTATTTTATATATACAAATATCTTGGGTAGAACATGGGTAGATGAGATAGTTGGTATGTGATAAAATAAGGAGGTATGAAAGATGATTAAGAATGATATTGGCAGATGCACCAATTAGAGAATGTCATAAAACTAGTAGATGTGCTTAAGAATAATATCGGTAGATGCACCAAGTAGTGAATGTCGCAATCCTGACAAATGCGCTTATAGGATAATGTCGGCAGATGCGCCAAATAGAGATTGTCATAATACTAGCAGATGCGCTTATAGGATAATCCTCGCAGATGCGCTTATAGGATAATATCGGCAGATTCGCCTAAAAGAGAATATCATAAACCTGGCAGTTGCGCCTCATAATGTATGACGTAATCCTGACAGAGGCGCTTAAAGGATGATGTTGCTAGATGCGCCTTATGTAGCAATAGATTTTGTGCTAATTCCTTAGGTCAATCCTTAGGAATGAATGAATGACGGGTATTTGAATTCTTATGGTAAAATCCTAAGAAATAAAGAAGATAATGGGGATGGGTAATTGGGTTGATTGTTTGATGGTTGAATATAATAATTATATTATTGTGGGTTGAAAACCCTATATGCTCACCAGGCTCCCAAGCCTGACCCACTCAGTTTTCTTTGTATCACAGGTATCGATACGAAGATATATTGCACGGAGATATTAAAAGAGATGTGAAATCTTTAGTGTAAATAATGTAAGTTCTGTTTATGCTTATGTGTCTGTATCGGAACATGACATCCCGAGATTTTGTTATATAATAAAAATACATTTCTTTAAAGAAATGCTTTGATAAATCTTTATCATATTTTGGGAACAAATTCCGCAACTATTTTCTTTAAAAGATTACTCTGATTTTAAAAACAAAGCATAAACAAATCGGTCTTTTCTGGCCGAGAAATTGAGGATGTCACAATATCACAAGTTTAGTGGGAGTAAATACATTTTTCTGGTCTTGTATGTTGATGATATATTACTTGCCAGTAGCCACCAATGATTTAGGGGTCTTATATGAGACCAAGAAATTTCTTTCGAAGCATTTTGAGATGAAAGATCTTGGGGAAGCCTCATTTGTATTAGGAATCCAAATTCAACGAGACAGATCTCGTGGAATTATAGGATTATCACAAAAGAGCTATATTGAAAAGATCTTGAAAGATTTGGCATGCAAAACTGCAAACCAGGATACACCCCTATTTCAAAAGGAGACAAATTCAGTCTCGATCAATGCCCTAAAAACGACCTTGAAGTTAAAGAGATGCAGAAGATTCCTTATGCATCGGTTGTTGGGAGTCTTATGTATGCTCAAGTGTGTACACGTCCCGACATATCTTTCATTGTAGGGATGTTGGGAAGATATCTAAGCAACCCAGGTATGGACCATTGGAAAGCAGCCAAACGGGTTTTGAGATATCTACAAAGAACAAAAGACTACATGCTCTCGTATAGGAAATCAGATGTTTTGGAGATCATTGGGTATTTTGATTCTAATTTTGCTGGATGCCAAGACAGTTATCGATCCACATTAGGCTACATTTACTTATTAGCAGGAGGAGCTATTTCATGGAAGAGTGCTAAACAAACTTTAGTAACTTCTTCCACAATGGCAGCAGAATTTGCAGCATGTTTCGAGGCATCAGATCATGCAATATGGCTGCGAAACTTAGTCACAGGGCTGTGTATTATTGGTATTGAAAGACCACTAAAGTTGTATTGTGACAATAAGTTAGCAGTGTTGTATTCCAACAACAGAAGTTCCACAAAGTCAAGGCATATTGACATTAAGTTTCTTATTGTTAAAGAAAGAGTGCAAAATGGTAAAATCGCAATAGAGCACATCGGGACAAACTCCATGATAACGAATCCGCTCACGAAGGGTTTATCTTCATCTATAAATATATGTGATGATGAGCAAACCAGAGAGGATGAAATTAATTCACAAATTCGTTTTTCTTGAGTGCAAAGGGTTCTTAGAAATGTCTTGAGATCAACTGGAAAACCAAGCTTGTTCTTCAGATCTAAAAGCTTCAATGGAAGCAGGTACACTATCTCCTTCTACTATTTTCTTTTATCCAGATTCGAGTATGAAGGTCCGACCTTGAAAACTTCCGCATACATATATAGACTAAGTTATTAAAATACTTACAATAATTATATATCACAAATACCCTTGCTTGACTGATTTTGCGGTTTTGGTTCCAAATAATCTTAGTAGACTCTTATTTATTTATTTTCTTATTAAAGCATTGTACTTTGAAAGTACAATGTCATAAGTTTATTTATCGGCCTACAAGGTTGCGTAGATCCGTCTTCGCTCATGGTCAGTTATATGTAGTTGTTTCTCGTGTCACAAGTAAAAAATGTTTGAAGGTACTCATATGTGACGATGAAGGTCGTTCAACTAATAAAACAAAAAATATTATCAATAAAAAGATCCTTCAACGCTTATAGATATTTTTCAATTTCAGTGGACCTTTTACACATCTCAATAATACTAATAGCCATAATTTATTTTTTTACTTTCATATGCAATATCTATAAACATTTGTATGTTTTTTTATATTCCCTGTCCGTTATAATATAGTTATGTCTTTGATTTATAAAAAAGAAACAAATTCGTACACAATAAT